GCGGTTAGTGGCAGCGACTGCGAGTTCTCCGACTGTGACACTTAACGTTGGCTCCGCCCACACAAACTGTCACTTTTCAAATTAAGAGCAAAAAGGAAAACGCGGTCTGTGGACGACCGGGAATCTGGGAATGGTCAGGGAAACCTGGCAGGAGGCCAAACCACCCACCGCACGTCCTCACGGTGAGGTCACAGATCCAGGGCTAACCTTTAGCTTCAACAGAGCTAAAGGTTAGCTCGGCCTGTAGCACAATAGTCAAAGGTTAGCAATAAATTGTACGAAGGTCGGCTGAAAAAACTGGCTTGAAACGGTGTGTGTGATCGGGGGTCGGGGGGGTGGAGGGGGGGGGCTTCTATCCCTGCTCACCCTTTCATAGTGAATATTTTGAAGTACTTTCACGTACGAGTACTAGCCGTTCTCCACCGGTGCTGTTGTAACAGTGTGTGTTCAACTCTGGTGGCCAATCAAAGTACTTCACTACAAAGTTTTAACAAAGTATCACGAATATTTAAATGGAGGCAGCTGTCGGCCCACTGCTGCCCCCTGTGGTAGGTTCAGTTTGTTTGTGTTAGTCACATGACCTCTTCCTGACCTTAAGGTGTGTATTTAACGTATGTAACACCGGGGGGCGTTTGTTGACTAATAACACACGATCAATAACCGTATTGATCATTGATCGCTCTGCTCACGGCCCTCTGACTGTTCTCTGTGTGTCCACCGGGGTGTGCTCTGTGTTTTAACAGGATTATAATGACAGTTATGGTTGGACAGAATTGATGTTTGTGCTTTTTATGAGGTGTGAGTGAAGGGGGCGGAGCCAGGCGGCTCATAAAGGCAGCAGGAACTAACTATGCTTGTGCGCATGTGTGACCGGGCGTCATAGCAGGGAAGTGTGCCATGCCTTTAGGGGGCAAGTGGCCCTCAGTGTGAGTGCAATGTTTGTATAAATATATTTTTGTCACTCTGTGATAATAAAGGACTGTTTTTACCTCTTATTCTCCCGGCGTTCCTGACGCGTGACCTCACGTGACCTCAGACTAATCCAAGGCCGGTGGCTGGTTTTTAGTGGAAGGCCGCCCCCTAGTGGCTGTGTGACGTGTGTCAGTCCCGAGGCCTGTGGACAGAACAGAGTCCAGACTCTTCCTTCTGACTGTACATGATTTCATCTTTATTTCAGTTTTATTTTCAGACGCTGCTTTATTTAAATAGGTCTTTTCCTCAGGTGACGTCACAGCCTGTGTTGGTGAGCTGGACTGAGGTCAGAGGTCAGAGGTCAGACTCAGACCCTAAACTAACCCTAAGAGCAAAATCATAAAATGACAGGTATTAAAAACAAACAAACAAACAAACAAACAAAGTCAGTGTGTTCTAAGACAGACACAACAACAACAAGAAGGACAGAGAGAAAGACGAGACCACAGGAGACACCAGTGCCCCCTACCGGTCATTTCCTATCACTGAATGTGGGTTATGTACCTGGAAAAAAACGTGACACCAGCACGTTGGTCTTGTGCACACCCAGGGCAGTAGTGTGAACAGTGGTGTGAACGTGGTGTGAACAGTCGTACGTTTCAGGTGAAGACAGACAGAAATCCATTTGATGATGGAAAAAAAGACACACTTTAAAAAGAAGAACCACTGACAGAGAAGAGGAGAAAACACCACAGCCTGTGGGGGGGGGGGGGGGGGGAAAAAAGTCCTGGTATCTGAATCACACACCCACACGCACACACACAGTGTTGGGACGGAGGA